TGGCCCATGCTCTGCGGATTTCCAAGCTTCTCAGCAGCAGCCACAGCTGCTGCTGCAGGAAATAGGGACTTGCAGCTCTTTGCCCAGGACTCATTCACTGACCACAATGGCCGCTGTGCCAAGGACACGGGAGGAAGACAAGGCTATCCATAGTGACATGTAGGATAGCATGCCAAGATGTGATTCTTTTTGTTTCAGTTTTAGGAGGTCATCAGTAATGAGCATGGGATAGGTCCCACAAGCAGTTGCCATGGAGACAGTGAATTGCAGCTGGAGAGAATCAACGTGTACTACATTGAGGCTGCTGGTGAGAGGTTGGATGTGTTTGCCCAGGCACTCTTGCCTTCCATACTGTGGCAGATGAGATGCCCTAGGAACATGCAAGTGACAAGGACATGCTTCTTGCTTACTCTCTTAAATGTCAACTGCTAGAAAAAGACCCTATCTAGTTCCTTAAGACTCCTGCCTGTTTGACATGGCTCTGCATGCTCAGTACCTCCTTTTTCTTAAAAGCAGAACAGCACCCTGTTCTCCTCCTTTTGTCTCAGAAGCTGGAATTTTCTCTCAAGAATGCTGCTGTGAGAGCCGCATAGAGCACAGCCCTGCCCATGAGGGCTTTGCCAACTGCAGGTGTAAGTCAGTTCTTGTTCCTCACAGGTAGCAAATACATTCCTCAGTCTATCCTGCTGGATTTGGAGCCAGGCACGATAGACTTGGTCAGGTCTGGACCATTCGGTCAGATCTTCAGGTCAGACAACTTTGTGTTCGGTATGTAGTCACAACCAGCAGGAAGTGGGAACTGGTCACATGACTCACCTTTTTCCTAACAATCGTGCAAAACACAGGTCTTAGAGGCCAAGTCCCTATCCCCGGACAGTTATGGCGCTGGTCACTCTCCATGGCTCAGATCAGTGTCAGCCTGCAGACAACAGGACACCCAGGACAGAAAAGCCTCTGGCAAAAAGAAGAGCGGGCCAGGAAAAGCTGCCAGCAGGGCTTCCAAGGCTACAGGCTCTGCTGAGTACACTGAGCCTTGACCCTTTCCCGGTTAATTGCACCTAATTTGAGTACTTCCAGAATGGCTATGCTTCAAACGTATGTACTTTAAAACTAAGTTTATTAATCCTCTTCCTCAATTAATAGCTTCATATGAATTAAACTTGCTTTTTACTTTATTATGAATTTCAGTGTTTTTGAGGGTCACTGATACATAGTAAGTTTTTTTTTTTAATGGTATTTAACAGAGAAGAACCTGCCACTCTAAGACTACTTCTACCTTCTCTACACTCCAGGGATTTCAGTTGACCCACTCACTGGGGGATGGCACGGGCTCCAGGATGGGCACCCTGCTCGTCAGTTATATTCGGGAGGAGTACTGAGACCACATCATGAACACCTTCAGCATGATGCCCTCATCCAAGGTGTCGACACTGTGTGGAGCCCTTCAATGCCACCTGTCTGTCCACCAGCTGGTAGAAAATACAAATGAAACCTATTCCACGGACAAACAGGTCCTGTATGACATCTGCTTTCACACACTGAAGCTCACACTGACCTCAACCACCTGGTGTCGGCCACCATGAGCGGAGTGACCACCTGTCTGCGCTTCCCAGACCAGCTGAACACAGACCTATGCAAGTTGGCCGTGAACACGTGCCCTTCCCCCACCTGCACTTCATGACCAGCTTTGCAAAGGCAGCCTACAGTACTGGGCCCTGACGGTGCCTGAGCTCACCCAGCGGATGATTTGTCCTTGCCTAGCATCCCAAGCATAAGAACAGAGGAGCAGGGAGGGTGAATGTTTGCTAACAGCTACACAAAGAACCAGGACGGCTTCCTATGAGTCACCAACTTGATGAGCTCTCCAGCAGCTGACGTGGTCAGACCTGCATCTTTATAGCTTTCAAATAAGGACAGCCAAACTAGTGAGAACAGCTTTGGTCTCTGCATTCACTTCTGAATCCAGTGCACCTCTAGATTATAAAGGATTCAAAATCCTGGTTCATGGGGAGGGATAGCCAGGGAGGGACTGGAAATGCCTAGCTAGTGAGAAGAGCACCGGGATAGTGTGAACGTTGCAGGTATCTCAAAGGCAGCCACAGAAGACAGCTACACAGCCACAGAAGGCTAAAGGCCACACATCAGTAGGTGCAGACAAACTTCCTAACAGTTCTGTTGGTATCAGATACTGCTGTGTTGGCCATGTGTCTTTGGCCCTTGCCCTTCCAGACATGTTTGTGGTTTCCTAGGTCAAACAACTGTGACGTGCTTCAGGGCTCATTTACCCAGGGAGGTAAGCTTTTGGAAATAGGTCCCATTCATTGGCAGACTGGAGGCTAAAGAGCCCAGCTTCCCTGCCTCTCAGGCGGGACAACTCCAAGTTAACTTCCAATGTGCCTCTGACAGATCCCCTTGGGTGGAGCCCTTGCTGCTCACAGCAGTAACCTGCTCTCTGATGCAGCCCGTTGGTTTCCTTCACTTTCCCACCTCTGTTCCCCGCGACCCTTCCATATGGACACCACCCTAATCAGCGTCCACTCAGATCTTCCTCTCAGGGCCTGCTTTGAGGGACTTGACCTGAGCCGCACATCAAAGAAGAAACCATGTACTCATTTCTTACTGCTGTGTAACAAGTGTCCATAAAGTTTGCAGCTTAAAACGCCACGATCTCCTACAGTTTCTGTGGGTCAGAAGTCCGGCAGGGCTCGGTGGATCCTCACGGCTTGGGCCACACTCTCATCGGGAGCTCGGGGGCCTCTGCCACACTTGTTTGTGGGCTCAGCAGAGTCCAGTTCCTTAGTCATAGGTCTGAGGTTCTTATTCTCTTGTTGGCTGTTGATCAGAGGCTGTTCCCTTCCACAGGGCCCTCCCCATATCAGGGCAGCCAATCCTTCAAGTTCATAAGGAGAGGGTCTCTATGGCTTTCAAACTCTGACAGTTCTCTTCTACGAGCAGCTGGAGAAATCCCTCAGCTCTGTAATTAGGGGAGCCTACCCAGTTAATTTCCCTGACTTAAGGTCAGCTGACGTGGAACCCGAATTACACCTGCGAAATCCTACCTTAACAGTACCTAGACTAGTGTTTGGTTGAACAACTGGGAAAAGGTGTGTGTACACCAGAGGCCAGGTGAATCTTGGGCCATCTTAGAATCGGTCTATATAGGGACTATTTAGGGAGTGGAAACAGCAGGGTCTCTGGAACAAGATGAGGCTGTATTTATAGAGTATGTGATTCTTCTACTTCTTAGTGTATGCCCTTGAGCAAGTATTTTACTCTCCAAGTTTTAACTTCTTTGCCCAGGAAATGATGCTCATAGTAGCCACATCAGAGGGTTATTGTGAGGATTAAATGAAATGCACATGAAAAGCACTTATCACACAAGTGTGCAATAACTGGTTCCGTAGTGAGCACCTTGTCAAGGGAGGTATTGGAAGACAGGCTATATATAACTTCTTGCCAGGATTCTGCAAAGGGGAACTAGGGAACATTATTAATCTTGGAGTACCTTTTAATTTTATTGCATTTTTTATTTTTTTGAGTTGGAGTCTCACTCTTTTCCCCCAGTCTGGAGTTCAGTGGCACACTCACGACGAGCACAGCCTTGACCTGCTGGGTGATTTTTCTATCTCAGTCTTCTAAGTAGCCAAAACCACAGACGCACACCACCACACTCAGCTAGTTTTTGCAATTTATTGTAGAGACGAGGGCTCACCAAGTTGCCCAGGCTGGTCTTGAATCCCCCAGGGCTCAGGCAATCCTCTCACCTTGGCCTCCCAAAGTGCTGGGGTTACAGACTAGCCACAGCGCCCGGCCTAATTTTTAAATGTATAATTTTAAGGTTCCCTTTAACCAGGAAAAGTGTATGGCTCTGGGTAAACATTCTTGGAAGAGTTAACATACTTACTGAGTCCAAAAGAGACCAGCGACAAACCCAGCACTGAGCACTTTTCCTGGCCCCTCCTAAACCACCTTCCTTACATGTGGAGGTGAAACCCCTTTCACCCTGCCGTCTTCGCTTGCCTTAAAGACAGCTGCCATCAGCTTTCCCAGGTCCCCCGCTCCTCCCCATGCTGCTCCCCCTCCCCGCTCGAACCAGGAAGGGAACAAGGCACGGAGTACAGGACCCTGCCAGGAGGCAGCAAAACCTTAGCGAACAGTTAGAGACCCCACTGGAAATGCGTCAGTTCCGGCCTCCCTACTCCAAAAGGGAACTCGACGCCTCTCCTCGCCCCCCGAAAAGCGAAGACCCTGCTTGGAGGCAGCCCTCCCCCTGATTCCGGAACCCCGGTCTCCAGCCCGCCTCGAGGGCTCAGAGGGGGCGGGGTGGCATGGGTACTGCGGCGTGACTGAAGGACCAAGCGCAGGGGTGCAGCAGCACCCATGGGTCGGGGAGAGGGCGGCCAGCTGCCTGGACCTTCGGCCACCGGATGCCTAGGCTGGACGCCCACCCGAGACCCCACGGCCGCAGCAACCGGGGTTCTCACCTCGCACC